CTGAGGTTGAAGGTTGGCACGTTGATCTGAAGCTGGAAGTACGTAGCGTTTTGGTCTCTGTGGCATCTGTCTGTTTGGACAGGCCAAGAACTCAGGACTTTCTAGCCAGATCAATTCTGTTAACTGTGTCACAAAGTTCTTATTTGTTGGCACATGTTGCCATTGTTCAGGGCTTAAAGATGTTTCAATCTTTTTTACTTTGTTGTCTACATAGACGTAGAAGTGTCTGCTTTGTTTGCAGATGTAGCTTGACATCACCTTGCTGTCTGCGTAGAAGGTGGTAGACTGTAGTTCAAGGCACAACGTCTTCGCTGTCAAGTTGGTGAGCTTTACAGCCAAAATGGTACCACATAGCTCTAACCTTGGTACGGTGTGGCTTTCTTGTATTGTTAGTCTCACTTTTCCAAAGAAGACACCGAGACTGCAGCTCTCCCCGCTGTAGACTCTGATGTATTTTATGGTTGCAGTCAAAATGACGTACGTGTGGCTCTCCCCGCTGTAGACTGTGACGCATTTTAAGGTGCATTTGCCTTCGTTGGCACATCTAAGGAAGCGTACAATTCTTTCTTTTTGCCCTGTGGCAGGTGAGCTGGAAACATACGTGCGCTGCACTTGCATACTCTGGAGACATCTTGGGAGTACACTCCATGACTCCCAGTTTTGTTTCTGTTCTGGCAGACGCGGCTTATCCCAGTGTGTGGTGTTCAGGGAGAACGCCCGTAGCTGCAGACGTTGTTTGTCTTGTTTGTCCTCTATGGACAAAGCTAAGTTGTAATTCTTGCTTGTCTGGAACACTGTTGCTTCCAAAACAGGTTTGGTTGTCACAAGCGTGCAGTGTTCTAGGTGTGGTTTTAGGTGAGGTGCTGTTCCATTACTGGGAAGTTAGTATAGCTAAGCCCGCCTTTTTCGACCTCTTCGACCTCCCGAGTGAACTGAAGCATTTTGCAATAAATACGTGCACAGTACCAATGCGCACGGCGGGGAGGAAAATCACTGGTCTACGCATAGAAGTGATAGATGGAAGTTCACATTTCCGGTTACCATCAGTGTTAGAATGGGAGACCTTACCAGATGTTCGCAGCGAAATCTCAACACCAGAGGCGGCAAGAAAAATACCTCACTTAGCACACATAGCCTATTTAATCCCCCCTCTAGATCCTGAAGCTGAAATCCTACTCATGGTGGGAAGAGACGCCCCTGAGTCCATTGGCTCTGATTTATTTATTTATTTATTTATTTATTTCTTGTATTTCTACCCCGCCCTTCTCCCTGCGGACTCAGGGCGGCTTACAACCATTTAAAAACAAATACTTGGATACAAAAATACAAAATTTAAAATATTAATTAAAATGAAATATTATTCTAAGGCCGAAAATTCGAAATATTTTTTTTTTTAATTATTTTAAAACCAAATTAAAATAACCCTTAGGCCAGTCCTGCTAACTTAAATAGCCATGTCTTGAGGGCGCGGCGGAAGGAGGGGAGATCCGGAATCACCTGGATCTCTGGGGGTAGCTCGTTCCATAGGGTGGGAGCTCCAACAGAGAAGGCCCTCCCCCTGGGGGTCACCAGCCGGCACTGTCTGGCTGACGGCACCCTGAGGAGACCCTCTCTGTGGGAGCGTATCGGCCGATGAGAGGTAATCGGAGGCAGAAGGCGGTCTCGGAGATAACCAGGTCCGATGCCATGGAGCGCTTTGAAGATGATAATCAACACCTTGAAGCGCACCCGGAAAGCCACCGGCAGCCAGTGCAGCTCGCGCAGCAGCGGCGTTATATGGGAGCGACAAGTCACTCCCATCACCGCCCGCGCGGCTGCATTCTGGACTAGCTGGAGCCTCCGGGTGCTCCTCAAGGGGAGCCCCATGTAGAGAGCATTGCAGTAGTCCAGGCGGGAGGTGACAAGAGCGTGGGTGACTGTGCGCAAGGCATCCCGGTCCAGAAAAGGCTGCAACTGGTAAACCAGGCGTACCCGGTAGAACGCCCCCCTGGCCACGGCCGTCAGCTGGTCTTCTAGTGTCAGCCGTGGGTCCAGGAGGACACCCAGATTGCGCACCCTCTCCGAGGGGGCCAAAGTTTCGCCCCCTATAGTCAGCGACGGGGTCAGCTGATCATGCCGGGGCGCCGGCAACCATCACTTCTTTGATGAAAGAATCAAAGGTCCACCAGGAACCCCAGTAGCCATTAAGACGGAACTCGGATGGGCCATAGGAGGGATGGTTTGTGTTGATCAACCGCAAACCCCAACCCAGGTGAGCATCTCAAAAATCTCCATTTGCTGTGGGTCTAGTATGGCGTACATCTTTACGGCCCTTTCAGGTTGCCCGCCGGGGTAGACTTTTGCAAGACAGACGGGTGAGCATGAAGGAGGGCATGGTGAGTCACCGCATATATCTGTGTAGTACATCCCGTACTATTTTGGCTGCTCTTTGGAGTCACTTTGAATCTCCGTTGTCGAAGTCGCTTGTTGTGTCTCCTCAGAGGGCTTCTTAGTTTCTAGATGTAAGGCTGCTGGGTGCTTGTTACTGTCACACAGGTGGCATTTCACCCTGACTGTACAATCCCTGGCCATGTGATCTATAGAGTCACAGCATTTGAAGTATATCCTATGCTCTTTGAGTAGGGCCTTGCGGTCATCTAGGGATTTTTTCCCAAATTCTCTGCAATAGTTTAGAGAGTGTGAAGAATTATGAATTGGACAAGTCAGGCCTCTTTTAGTTGGTCGAGGGTTCGAATGAAAACTCCTCGGTGTTCGTTCGTCTGGAGTCCTCTTTGGACGAGGCGTGATCCCTGTTTTGAACACTGAAACAGTGGTTCTGTCTTTCGTGGCTTGGAAAGAACCTCTGTTAGGGCCGAAGCTGTGACTGGTCCGTTTTGGTGTTGGGAACGAGTCTTTTGTGTTCGCGAAGTTGCTGGCATTACGGCGTAGTTTTGGTTGGTCGGTCACGAATTGAGCAAGGACAGCAAAGGCGGGTGGTACGTCAGGGTCCTGGCTCCTGTGAGTTTCTGATACTTTGGCCCATTCGTCCCTTGATTGCCTTGGTAGTTTTCTAACTATAATCCTTTGCTTCTCGAACTGATCGAGGCAAGTGAGTTTCGGCATGTTGGGCTGCTCACGAACTGAATGTAACATCGAAAGCACGTCTGTGAATTCCAACATCTGGGTGTGGTCGTTGATATTGATGGTAGGGAAGGTGTAAATGCAATCTAAGAGCGAATTCTCTGTCAGTTCGTGCACGCCATACCGCTTGTCGAGCCTTTCCCAAGCCTTGAGAAGGGCGGTGGCTGGGTCGCCTAGGTGGGCTAGTTGAGTGTTCTCTACTAATCGTGCGGATGCTGGTCCCAGCCATGCCTTCATGAGTCCAAGCATTTCGCTTGGTGTTGTCACTTCGTCTTGGATGGCAGCCTGGAACGTAAACTTCCACAATACGTAGTCCTTCCCTGGTTTATCGGAGAATTTGTGCACGCCTTTGGATGCCAGATCTAGTTTACCTCTGTAAAGTCTTGAAGGAGCGTAGCTGGGTGGGGATGGTACATCGCTTCCGGGAGCGGGGGCGTGCACCATGTCTGGCTGGTGCCTTCCTTTGGCATATTGTCCGCTGAGGCCATCTTGCCACGTCGCGTGCGAGGGGCCTTGTTGGCTTGGTCTGAATTCCTCTGCTCTGGCGTTGAGCTGAGGGGACCCGAGTCCTTGCGTGGTCGCTTGTTGGAGGGTTTCTCATCTTTTGGGTGGTACGTGGCTAGTTCCCTGATAGGCTGGCATGGCTGATGGTTGAGGTTCTCCTCTGTGGTCGGTCAGGTCTGGGGGCGGTTCCCCGGTAGACTGCTTCCTGTTGTCTCAATATTGACTCTTTTCTGGCGAGCTCATCTCGGAGCCGTTGCACTTCCTGCTGTGTAACGATTGCCGTTGCAGGTGGGCCCGTCCGGTTGCCATCAGTGGTATGGTTCGGTGGGTTACGTGAAGCCGCAATGGTGGGGAGATCTTGTAGCACTTCCTGCTGAGTAGTTGTTGCCGCTGCAGGTGGACCCATCTGGTTGCCATCAAAGGTATGGTTTAGTGGGTTCAATGGGGCAGCAACGGTGGGAAGATCTTGTGGCCTAGATGTTGCGACGACAACTCTCTGGCTGCTCGGTACATCTGGCTGTTGAGATTCTTCTCTTCGTCTACTCGGTCTTGGTGGGCTCGTGGATAGCTGCGGTCTCACCTGTTCACATTGAAACGCGCTTTGGTTGTCCATGTAGGCCTGCACACGACTGCGCCGTTCTTCGTTCTCCAGTTGTTCCTGATTTGGCGAGAAGATGGTGTGTTGAAGTGTACTCTGAAAGCCTTTTGCTCTTGCGGTTTTGTCTGCTACTTCTCGCTGGCTTCGTATGAACTCAGGCTCGTCTTGAGTGGCTTTCATTTTAGCCTTCCTTATATCTGCTTCAGCGTCTGCGTCAGCCTTTTAGCTACATCAGCTTCTGCATCAGCCTTTCTTTTGGCTGCTTCAGTCTTCCTTTTAGCTGCTTCAGCCTTTCTTTTGGCCTTCATTTGAGTTTCTTCAATTTCCATTGCTTCCAATTCCTTCTTCTTCAGCTGCTCCTCTTGTGCCACGTGAAAGACTGCTTCGGCAGCGTTAGCATCGATGATTGCTTGCTCTGCTTGTGAAATTTGGGATGCTCGGCTATGACGAGAGGATGCTTTTGAATGGCGGGAGGCGCCTGTGACGTGAGATTGTTGTGACACGCTAGAATGCGCCTTGGATACATGGCGAAAGGAAGAGGCTTTTTCAGACACGTGAGATGGAGCCGCATGCGACCGTTGGGATGGTTCATGTGAATGGCGGGAGACTTCAGACTTGGCCCTTTTGACTGGTCTGTCTCTGGTGCGAGGCTCAGGCTCTGGGAGGCGTTGTGGGCTCTCCAGCAGCTTACTGCGCTCCTTGTTTATTAGTTTGAGGCTTTGCATCTCGCTATCGACTCTTGGGTCTCCTAATTGTGCCTGAATGTTTTCGAGACGGCATGCGGAGTCTGTCCATTGTCGGAAAGTGTCTTTCCTATCCTCGTCTAATGCGGGTGCGCATTCGGGATGAAACCTTTCTTCAGACATTTGGTAGAGTTCCTGTAATGCCTCCCAGGCTCTCTCGTGGCGGTCGTAGAGCGACTGCCATCTGTCCATGAGATACGACCGCATGGCCTCTGTAGGCTTTCTTTGTTGCCTCAGGTCATAGGGTACCTGAGACGTCTTTGGCTTCACTGAGGCTTGAGCTTCAGCCTCTGTGTACAGGTCAAGGTTGGCTGTTTGCAGCATTTCTCCTTGACCGGCTGGTTGGGGTGTCTCATCTAGGCTGGTTGGTTGAACCCCTTCATCTAGATCAGTGGGACACTCTGCCATGGCTAGGATAGGTTCAGTACACTTCCTAGCTATTTTGAAGCAAATTTGATGAACTTCTCTCTTTGACCACTAGGGGTCACTGCTTGCAGATCAGCTGCTGGGGTGCTGTCTGTGGGTGGAGGCACCACTGGGTGCGTTCTCCTGCGTTTGTGGGTACTTCAGCGCAATTCACCCTTTCACCACTAGGGGTCACTTCCTGCGGGTCAGCTACCAGGGTGCTCTTCCTTCGAGGTTCACCCTTTGTCCACTAGAGGGCTTTCTCTGGGCGTGATTAAAGGCTTGCGTGTAGTTCTTCCTTTAACCACTAGGGGGCGTCTGAAGAAAGGCCAGCCAAATCTCCTCCTATTACCATGTTACTGCTAGTGGCCACCGAGAGAATGTAGAGCTTTCACTAGCTCTTACAAACTCCCGCCTGGTCGTTAGGTTGCAGGCTGGAACTACTTGGTCATCAGCTCTGTGATAATAAGCAAGGATAATTGCTGCCTGTTCTTCTCCTTAATTTCCCTCAAGCTGGAACTTCTGGGTCATCAGCTTGAGTGAGTGGTTACTTTAGGTGAAGTTCACTCTGTGCCCTTTAGGGGGTGTAGGTAGCTTGGGATGAATTTAGATAACTTGCTCTTTAACTATCAGATTCACTCTGCATAGTTAGAAGTGTGTGCAGCAAAGTACCTTCTTTCCCCTCTTGGGGGTGCTCTTAACTTGGCTTGGTATAAGCCCGCTATGTACTGAATTAATTATCAAGTTGTTGTAATCCCACATGGAAATTGCAAGAAAATTGCATAAGGAAGGTGTCACGTACAAATTGGCCACCAGGGGATGCTACTGCATTGCTATTGGAACCTCTGAACACTTTTCCATTGACTTAGTTGAAATTCCAAGCATTCCAAAGGGAGGGGTTTTTTAGCTTCTTTCACCAGTGCTGAGTTAGCTGACAAGATTAAACCTGATCACTTCCTTTGGCAAATTAGCTGCTCACAGAATTCAAGAAAGCACGTTCTTGGTAGCAAGCTGTTTGAACAAATACATCTTTCCATTGGGTTTAGCTACATAGGCAGTAATCTCTGTGATTGCTTCCAAGCAAACAAACGCTCCTCTCATCAATGCTGGGTTACTATTACAACAAATGGTTTTATTGTTATGGCATCTGGGGCCAGAAGGGGAAAATGGCTTTGCAAAAGGGAATCAGCCTTCCTTGGCTAGCAAACTCATGAAGAAGAAACAGATATGTTGTTGCTTTGTTACTCTTCAAGCATAAACACTCAACATATTTCTAGACACTTAAATTTCAAATCCTTGATTTGCATTAGGCAGGCTGAGAGAGAGAGACTTCCCCTTTGAAGGCAGTGAAGAGTTAATTGCCTGCCTTTGGCTGGTGGTGACAGAAAGGAGGTGAGAAGGGGGGTTGAATCGCCCGTTCTGAACGTTAAACAAAAGGCAACAGAAGTTTTGATATGCTTTGAATTTGTCATCAGGTTTGCAGAAAATGCAGTTTTTAAACATGCAAGAAGTTCTGGCAATGATGCAGTAGGCAGAAACGCTTTGAGAGTTAGGCTGCACCCAATATTAACTTTTCCTTTTCTGCTTTAAACGTTGGCTGGCAGATAGAAATACTGGCAATTTAGCACAAATATAAAACGTTTACAGTCTTTTACTTTTCTTTAGTTCAGAGTCAATGCGAAGATACTTGAATTTATTTTGCAGGCGTTTAGTGGGAGATTAGCCCCATCAAATTACTGTTGCAGGCGATTGAAGGAATTTAGCCACATCAAATTACTATTTGCCTTTATAAAGCTGATATGAACTCTGAGCATTCTTTCACTATGCTGATCCTGAGTTAAAACGCCTTATAAATCAGATCAGATAGATAAACTCAATAGGAATAATTTCATAACAAAAACATATTTAATCAGAAAGATTACTTGCATTCATGACGGTTGCCTCTGATAATAGATCTCTGTCTATTCCTATAGGTGAAAGAATGATGCTCTCTTCATACCATCTTTATAGCGAAACAGGGTCATCGGGTGACATCTGATGGCCCATGCTTCTCTCAGACAAAGACATTCCAATCTGGCTTGTGTCCAGGAAGTCTCCCAATGCCCTCTAGAAACTCCTCCCACTGACCCATTAACATGGGATGACTGACTAGCTAAACTACATTTCCCATAACCCATCTCTTAAGGAAACAGCACTTAACCCAATAAATGCCAGATATTCTAACATACAAATACTGTACATGCTCTAGTTAGGGTTACATAGAGTTATACGATCCAGAACAGAACCATTCAGCCCTATTTTTTTTAATGTATCAGTTTAAATTAGCAACTTTCAAAATAATCACAGCACTTTTCTCTTGTCCTCTCTCTCTTCCTACTTGATGACAACTATTTTTTATTCTTACAGGTGAGAAAGTTCCGGACCCTGACAGAATTGATCATGGATGCTGAAGAACATGTGAAAAACCCATACAAAGGCAAAAAACTGAAGGTAGGTGTTGGCTTTGAGGAGGATATGGTCAGCGAAAGAACTTTCTCTTAAATCAAGTTGTTGCTTTTGCCCAAATGGCACAAAATTTTGATATGTAACTCCAGTATTTCTTAAGACTCAGATGTGCTTCCATTTTCTTTTTTCTGGTTATTTTTTAGTAATGGATTACAGGGAGTCATAATTGGTAACATGGATTTACACATAACTTTCTCAGCAGAGCATATTTACTTGTAATATTTATACCTCATCTACCCTCCAGGGGCTCAGGGTGGTTACATGATACTCCTTCCTCCACCACAGCTCTGTGTGTCAGTTTGGGCTGACAGATAGTAACTGACTCAGAGTCACACAGTCAACTTTCTAGGCATCCTGGGTCCTCATCAAACGGGTCTACGACGACTCACTGCAGCCAGGTGGGCATGACCCGGTAGGTGTGCCCATCTGACTGCTGCCAGGTGGGCATGGGTGAGTGGGCGTGGCTGGGTCGACGCGAAGGATTAGGTGCAGCCCATTCGGGGCGGATGATTCAGGGCGATTGGGTGGGCGTGGCCAAGTGGACGCAACCACGTCGGTGTGGCTGGCTAGGGGGTGCTGGGTGGGTGTGGCCAAGTAGGTGCAGAACAAGTTGCCACGGGCAACTGGAGGTGGAGCCAACTCGGTACCCCACCAAAACAAAAATCACCCGGGGACGTGCTGGCAAACAGGAAGCAGGGAAGCGGCAAAATTTGAAAGGCAAAGGATGGATTTCCCCCTCCCCCTTTAGAGAAAGGCTCATTTTTTCTTGCTGCTTCCTGAGCAGAGATTGCTATCTTTGGCAGGGAAGGGGGGGTTGGATTCCCACCCCCCCCAATTTGGTGAAATTTTGCTCTGCTACCTCTGGCAGGAAAAGGAGGGTCTGGATTCCCACCCCCCCCAATTTGGTGAAAGGGAGCATTTTTGCTCTACTATCTCTGGAAGGGAAGGGAGGGGCTGGATTCTCCCCCCTCCCAATTTGGTGAAATTTTGCTCTGCTACCTCTGGCAGGGAAAGGAGGGGCTGGATTCCCCCCCTCCCAATTTGGTGAAACTGAGCATTTTTGCTCTGCTATTTCTGGCTGGGAAGGGAGGGGCTGGATTCCTCCCCCAATTTCGTGAAATTTTACTCTGCTATCTGGCAGGGAAGGGAGTGGCTGGATCCCCCCCCCCAATTTGGTGAAACAAAGCATTTTTTCTCTGCTATCTCTGGCAGGGAAGGGAGTGGCTGGATTCCCCCCCAATTTGCTGAAATTTTGCTCTGCTATCTCTGGCAGCGAAGGAAGGGGCTGGATTCCCCCCCCCCTCTCCAGTTTGGTCAATTGCAGCATTTTTGCTTTGCTATCTCTGGCAGGGAAGGGAGGGGCTGGATTCTTCCCCCCCCATTGGGTGAAATGCAGCATTTTTGCTCTGCTATCTCTGGCAGGGAAGGGAGGGGCTGGATTCCCACCCCCCCAATTTGCTGAAATTTTGTTCTGCTATCTCTGGCAGGGAAGGGAGGGGCTGGCTTCTCCCCCCCCCAATTTGGTGAAATGCAGCATTTTTGCTCTGCTATCTCTGGCAGGGAAGGGAGGGTCTGAATTCCTCCCCTCCCCCCAATTTGTTGAAACGGAGCATTTTTTCTCTGCTATCTGGCAGGGAAGGGAGGGGCTGGATTCCTGCCCCTCCAGTTTGGTGAAACGGAGCACTTTTGCTCTGCTATCTGGCAGGGAAGGGAGGGGCTGGATTTCCCCCCAATTTGGTGAAATTTTACTCTGCTATCTGCAGGGAACGGGAGGGTCTGGATTCACCCCCCCCCCCCCAATTTGGTAAAATGGAGTATTTTTGCTCTGCTATCTCTGGCAGGGAAGGGAGGGGCTGGATTCCCCCCCAATTGGATTCAAAATTGGGAAAGGAGTCCGGCAAGGCTGTATTTTGTCGCCCTGCCTATTTAACTTTTATGCAGAGCACATCATGAGAAAGGCAGGGCTAGATGAATCGAAAGTTGGAATTAAGATTGCCGGGAGAAATATCAACAACCTAAGATGTGCAGATGATACCACTCTAATGGCAGAAATTGAAGAGGAACTAAAGAGCCTCTTGATGCGGGTGAAGAAGGAGAGTGCAAAAGTTGGCTTGAAACTCAACATTAAGAAAACCAAGATCATGCCATCCTGCCCTCTCATTTCCTGGCAAATAGTTGGGGAAGAAATGAAGGTAGTGACAGATTTTATCTTCCTGGGCTCCAAGATCACCACACATGGGGACTGCAGCCAAGAAATTAAAAGACGCTTGCTCCTGGGGAGGAAAGCTATGGCAAATCTAGACAGCGTACTAAAAAGCAGAGACATCACCCTGCCAACAAAAGAACGTATAGTCAAGGCCATGGTTTTCCCAGTTGCAATGTATGGCTGTGAAATTTGGACCATAAGAAAGGCTGAGCGCAAAAGAATTGAGGCCTTTGAACTATGGTGCTGGAGAAGACTCCTGCGAGTCCCCTGGACTGCAAGGCGATCAAACCGGTCAGCCCTAGAGGAGATCAACCCTGACTGCTCTTTAGAAGGCCAGATCCTGAAGTTGAAACTCAAGTACTTGTGGCCACCTAATGAGAAGGAAGGACTCACTGGAGAAGAGCCTAATGCTGGGAAAGATTGAGGGCAATAGAAGAAGGGGACAACAGAGAATGAGGTGGCTGGATGGAGTCACTGAAGCAGTAGGCGTGAGCTTAAATGGACTCCAGAAGATGGTAGAGGACAGGAAGGCCTGGAGGAACATTGTCCATGGGGTCGTGATGGGTCGGACACGACTTCACAACTAACAACAACAATCTGGCAGGGAAGGGAGGGGCTGGATCCCACCCCAATTTGGTGAAATGGAGCATTTTTGCTCTGCTATCTCTGGCAGGGAAGACGGGCTGGATTCACCCCCTCCAATTTGGTGAAACAGAACATTTTTCCTTTGCTATCTCTGGCAGGGAAGGGAGTGGCTGGATTCCTCCCCCCCAATTTGGTGAAATGCAGCATTTTTGCTCTGCTATCTCTTGCAGGGAAAGGAGGCGCTGGATTTCCCCCCCCCAATTTGGTGAAATCGATCATTTTTTCTCTGCTATCTGGCAGTGAAGGGAGGGGCTGGATTTCCCCCCCCCCCTCCAATTTGGTGAAAGAGAATTTTTGCTCTGCTATCTCTGGCAGGGAAGAGAGGGGCTGGATCCTTCCCCCTCCCAATTTGTTGAAACGGAGCATTTTTGCTCTGCTATCTCTGGCAGGGAAAGAAGGGGTTGGATTCCCCCCCCCCAATTTGTTGAAACGGAGCATTTTTGCTCTGCTATGTCTGGTAGGGAAGGGAGGGGCTGGATCCCCCCCAATTTGGTGAAATTTTACTCTGCTATCTGGCAAGGAAGAAAGGGGCTGGATTCCCCCCCTCCAATTTGGTGAAATCGATCATTTTTGCTCTGGTATCTGGCAGGGAAGGGAGGGGCTGCATTCCCCCCACTCCAATTTGGTGAAACGGAGCATTTTTGCTCTACTATCTCTGGCAGGGAAGGGAAGGGCTGGATTCTTCCCCCTCCCAATTTGGTAAAAACGGAGCATTTTTGCTCTGCTATCTCTGGCAGGAAAGGAGGGGCTGGATCCCACCCGAATTTGGTGAAATTTTACTCTGCTGTCTGGCAGGGAAGAGAGGGGCTGCATCCCCCCCCAATTTGATGAAATTTTCTCCTCTCTGTTTCACCAAATTGGGGGGGAATCCAGCCCCTCCCTTCCCTGCCAGATAGCAGAGCAAAAATGCTCCGTTTCACCAAATTGTGGGGGTGGGATCCAGCCCCTCCCCTCCTTGCCAGAGATAGCAGGGCAAAAGTGCTCTGTTCACCTAATTGGGGGAGGAATCCTTCCCTGCCAGAGATAGCAATCTCTGCTCAGGAAGCAGCAAGCAAAAAGGAGCCTTTCTCTAAAGGGGGAGGGGGAAATCCACCCTTTGCCTTTCAAATTTTGCCCGTTCCCTGCTTCCTGTTTGCCAGCACGTCCCCGGGTGATTTTTGTTTTGGCGGGGTGCTGAGTTGGCTCCACCTCCAGTTGCCCACGGCGACTTTTTCTGTACCTACATGGCCACGCCCACCCAGCACCCCCTAGCCAGCCACACCGACGTGATTGCGTCCACTTCGCCACACCCACCCAATCGCCCCAAGTCATCCTCCTCGAATGGGCTGCACCTAATCCTTCGCATTGAACCCAGCCCCGCCCACTCACCCATGCCCACCTGGCGGAACTCAGATGGCCACGTCTACCCTGTCATGCCCACATGGCTGCAGTGAGTCCTCCCATTCCCTCCTCAAACACCTTAACAATTGCATCAGATGTTCCCCTACTGTGGATGTGCACATAGATATATAATTGTATATTTGTGTTTCAAGTGTAAGCTTTGCTAAAAGATATTAAGATCATTCCAATTCATGTGAATAGGAGAAAGTTTAGAAAGTTCCTAAGTATGTGCATAATTCTAAATACCATCTACCAACACAGTAGCTATTTTATATTGATTAAAACAGAAGTATTAAACAATAAGCTATTCATTGTACAGTATTGCTAAAAGTGGATGATGTGAATATTGAGAGTCACAAGTTTATCGGAGGTCACATTGTGACATGAGATAATGCCACTAGCATGTACAATTTTTGAATATAGTTTGTTATCTATGTATTATGGGGCAGGGGCAGGGTTCCATTTATTTCTGAATTAAAGATAGAAGCAAATATACCTTTAATAGACATTGCTCTTAGAGTGTGAAACATTGAAAATGATTCATACCAAAATGTATGCCAAGAAAGAATTGTTACAATTATGTTAACAAGCATGTTACGGTATTTATTAAGACTGATTGAAAGCCAGGATGGCCATGCTTGAATGTAAATCATAAAAAAAACCAATTTCATGGAGCTGGCATTTCCCCCACAATCAGATGCTGTTAGTCTTGTCCCATTATGCACATTAAAATTAGTGAGATCTTTCCTCTTCC